CTTAGCCTGCTTACTACATGGTTCGCCGTATTGGCCAATAAGCAACTCCTTTTTAAGTCCGATACGCAATTCGTATCGGCTAGTTTACACTGACTTTGTCCAAGTCCGTTACACCATTACCGATACCGCGATTGTGACCAATACTGTGAACCATGATGGGAGGAGATGTTCTATTATATGTATCACATTTACAATTTTTTCATCAATCCAAAGAAACACATGGAAAGTGTGTCAAATTTAGGATGTGAGAACTTTATCTCATGATTCTATCAGGACTTTATTTGATAATTCAGTCACAAGGATTTTACAACTCTTGAGAGTGCAAAGTTTAGTATGCTGATGCTTTATGATATCCTCCATGACATATGCATTGTCAAAAGTAACTTCTTTTCCCACCATCTTCAACCACCAATTCAATTCTAATAACCTGTTTTAACATTAACATTGAATCCTAGACATTGATCTTTGAACAATTTTGGTGTGAAGGTAAAACAATGGTTTCAAGATCACGGGTATGACAATGTAAATTTTGTTCATGCAACACCCGTGTGCTTTCCTCTTCTCTGAACCTAAATCAAAAGAAGAGAAGATAAAAAGTATTCATATATAAATACCATTTTCTGAGTTCTTTGGAATCATCACTTTTGCAATACTTTTTATACAGAATCACAAGTACTAGACATATTTGTTAAAAGAAGCTATGTCGATTGAAGCTCTAGCAATGGCAGGCGTCGATTACATGGACTAAAGTAGCAACATTGAAGCTTGCGAGGGCTGTGTCTTGGAACGGCCTCCTCCATATCTTCTAGTTGATCAACCAAGTCCTAGCACTGAATTTAACAAGGGTACCGATAAGTTGGTACATGATGGTGAGCTGATGAAAGCAAATATGCGTGAATGGGCTAAGGCAGTTGCTTCAACAAAGGCTGTTTCTAGATTTGAAATGCGAGTTAGATTAACCAATGTATCAAAATTGTATTTAAAATTAAACACTACGGAGAAAAATATTATTGTAAGATAAATTTCATTTATGTTGGCAAAAGAAAAGCCAGATTTGAAATGCACATATTTTCTTTGTTTGCACCAACATTTTTGTTCTTTTCTTTTTCTGATTGATATGACTTATGAGCAATCCAAAGGTAGGAATAAACACTTGGTTATGGGGTTCAGACTTGAACATAGATCCTACTGGCCTTTACAGTTGAAATTAATAGAGATGATATTTAAACACGGATCATAAACTATTCCTTGTTCTCTGAAACCTACAATGCACATTTTCTGGTTTATAAGTTCATACATATACTAATATATTTAGACAGACCATGCAATTTTAAATGAAGCTCTGGAAATTGCATTTTCAAGGACCAATAAGTATGCTTTCCTGTTATAAATTTCTTAGTGGTTGGTAGTTTTCTGAAACCAGTTGAAAAATCTCTCACAATGGATTGAAGCATACCCTTTAAGCGACGATAATAATGGTGAAGATGATGATGGTGACAATGGCAAGCACAAACAAGAATATCTATGGTATCATTTCACCATTGAATGATCGAATACTCCTTGAGGCTGAAAATTGCATTTTGATTAGAGATATTTCATGCTCCAAAAATGGTTGACAAAGACTCAATCTAGATTAAAAATTTAAGACAGTTGGAGATTCAGAACTTAGAAATGTTTCTGAAGAACATCATAAGAATGATGAAAATCATGTGTTGTGTGATTTATATGTACCACTCGCAAGTGCACGAATCTTTGCAGATAGGGTTTACTTGTAAGGGTGTCATGACAAAGGAACTTGTGTAAAATAAGTTTGTCAACAGATTTCTTAAATTCCAAATTAAATTAACTTGAAAGTAGGATAATCGAATCGTGATGATTAATTCTAAATTAACTAAGTAGAAAAATAAAATAAACTAAAGAACGATGATCAAATTTGATGTAGAAAATAGAGAGAGAGAGAATTAGGGGTATGAATTCACCACTAACGTCACACCACCAGTCAATTGCATCAATTTATTAGAGATATATCATATAACATGCACAAGGAATTAATTATGGCTACAAGCACATATTAATTCAGTTAGAAAATAATATAATTTAAAGCTAAGTATGGACTATCTTCGATTGGTATAAACCATTTACCTAATTACTTACTCTAGGGTGTAGCATGGTCTATCTTTTCTAGGCATAATCCATCAAATCTCTAACATTATATTCAGAGAAATACCATTGTGTAATCATCTCATTCACAACTACAAGAAGCGAATGAGTTGTGTTCAATCACAAGATCAAAATATCTAAGACAAGATAGAAAAATATTTGTAATTGAATTAAAACTTTAAAATAGATTCTTATTGAAAATTCAATTAAAGACCCTATAGATTACACAATCATACATGATAAAAATTATTCTCTAATAATTAAATATAATCAAACCAGGGTGCTAAGCTAGGACTACATCACAACCCTAGCAAAGCGTTTAGCCAAGCATGATTGGAGTGAAGTTCTTTATGGTTGAGGAAGACGTCTTCACCGCCATGGATCGATCTCTTCTTTCTTTTGACTACTCCTCTTTGATCTCAGCCTCAAGCTCCTCTGTATCATCCTTCAATGTTGTAGAAGACTCCCTTTAGATAATAAAACATCGGCCCTAAAGTTCCCTTTTTCATATAGGAGACATACATAGAAATTCTGTCAAATAAGGACTCTAAAATTCGTGCAGACTTCCAAGCCAATTTTGACAAGGTAAACAACTGTTTTAGGGAAATACAAAATTGTAGCTCTTCGAATTTACTTTCAACCATCGCGGGAATTTAGCCATTTTGACACTCAAGGAGAGAGATACAGCCAAATTACCAAAACGGGTTTAAGTTACCAACTTTGGCAAAAGTTTCCTTTTTGGAGAAGGATTTTTCCTTTTCTTCTTCTCTCCATTCTCATCAACTTGTGGTTTCCTTTGGACTAATTTCTAAGTATAATTAGACTTGGATCTTCAACATTGCTCGGTCCCACTGAATGTTATCTTTTAAAACTCAAAATTACTGGTGTTGACTGATTTTACAATTAAAGTCCTGAAATAAGAAAAAACAATAAAATAATGTAAAATCACAAATAAACTATTATTAAGTGAACAAAACATGCAAATAAATGGGCTAAAATGTGTAACATTCAGTGCCTAACAGTATGAGGCAATTAATTGAAAAGGAAAGGGAAAACTGACAGAATCCAAAATAAAACCGCCAACATATTGTTCACTAAGATAACAAATGGGTCGATCAGATGATGCTTTAAAGAGTGCAACACAAATTTAATTTCATGTGAATTTCCAAAAACTTCTGACTTATTAACATTTTCCTTGTACACTCTTCTATTTTAATTGGGATTCTGCATTTGTCCTTGTTATGTTTAATTCTCTTTCTGATCACCCTTATTTATCCTTTATACACCCTTCCATTTCAAGTGATGCTTTTTTCCATTACTAATAGTAAGACTCTCATATCACAACTAGGAGTTCGAAAATTTTAATTTTCTTAGTTAGAGTGCACGTTAAACATGTATCTCTCTAGTGGTAGTCCAACACCACCATCACAAAAAATTAAAATAAAAAACTATATCTCTTGGTTTTATTAGGATTGTATCTTTTTTTTTTTTTTTTTTTTTTTTTTTTTTTTTTATCTTGAGGATTTTACGATTCTGATAAAAGAATTAATGGGCCATTAAACCCCAATGGTGTAAACTCTTATCCTTCAAAAGGGGAGGTGAAGAGTTCAAGTTCCGTGTGATTTGTGAAATATGCGTGATAAAGGAGTTGACTTCCCATCCTCAAAGACTTAAGAGGGGGAGGGGACGTTCCAGCTGGGGGTGGGTAAAAAATGTGTGTGAATGGGAGTGCAATGTGTTTCTTGTCATTGAAAATGAAAGAGAGAGAGAGAGAGAAAAAAAAAAAAAAAAGTGATGAAAGGAGTAAGAGTATGCTGACGAATTTTGTGATATCCTCCATGACATGCACCAGCATGATAAAGTTCTTTTCCCACCACCTGCAGCTGCCAATTCAATTCTGATAACGTGTTCCGTATGCATATATAGTGATGATATGTTTTTTAGTGTATTGTACATGAAATGCACATTACACTCGTGACCTGTGTAAAAAATTGACATTGACTGTTAGAACTTACTGTAGGTGTACCAGACTAAAGTTTGGCCTTTGATGAAGAGTACTAGTCCTATGCCTTTCTGAGTAAAAGTCCTTCAAATAAATTTATCAGACTCGAGAGAGAGAGAGAGAGAGAGAGAGAGAGAGAGAGAGAGAGAGAGAGAGAGAGTACATATGAGATCACGGGGTATAACATTATAATTGTAATTTTTCATGCAACACCCGTGAACCTAGCTAAAAAATCAACTGAGAATAGGAGTGGAAGCATGCATATATAAATGCCTCTTCTATGTGGTCCTTAATTGGATCAATTTTGATATATTTTTACATAAAATTACGATCAGTCCTAAGTACATTTGTTAGATAATTAAGCTACCTATGTCTATTGAAGCTCTAGCAATGGCAGGTGCCAATTTGATGGAAAGTGGCATCCACCTTGAAGCGTGGCAGATGCGCCGTCATGACTTGGAACAGCCACCTCCATATCTTGTAGCCGATCAACAAAGTGGTAGCACTGAAGTTGACAACAATGGCGCTGATAAGTTGCTACTTGATGGCAAGCTGCTGGTGCAAGCAAATATACGCGAATGGGCTAAGGCTGTTGCTTCTAGGAATAGAGCTTCTCAATTTGAAATACAAGCTCGATTAACTAGAGTTTCATATTTGTATTCTAAATTAAATTCTAAGCACAAAATTATGAAATTGTAAAAGAATACTCATTTATCAAGCCATGTTGTTACTCAATTTGATTTTTTATTTTTGTTCATTTATTTTTTTTGGTATGATATAGCCGTTAGAAATTAGATGGTTAAGAAAAAAGTTATAAAAGATGATGAGAATGGGCATGGATTCAGAATGCAATACAATTAAATCAAACATAACATACGACCTTGGCGATCAAACTAAAACGGACCTTGGTTATTGATTCTAGTGGTAAGAAGGTTGGGCGTAGATTGGTAGCAACCAAAAATAAAAACAAAAAACAGAGGTTACAGAGCGTACAAAATTTATCAGTACATATTAAAATGACATTTAGGATGTGTAATGTGTACAAAATACAAACTCTGTAATTCACTACTGATTTGGTTACCTGATCTGTCACTAACCGTTGGTTCGGTTCGGTTCTGATTTATGTCACAACAATTTTGGTCTCAGTTCCAATTTTTAGAATCTGCTGAGAATAATTCCAATTTCGCACCGAACCGTGTGCATCCCTACGCCCATAATGTTCAAGGTAGAAAAAAGAATGCAAATACCGTTGATGATCCTAAAAACTCAAATCGAAAAGCGTCTCTGACCTCAACAAGATCTTCAGGTCCATTCAAAGACGACATTGGGAGTATAACATGCTGTCTTTGTGCCAAAGAAAAATAAAAAAAAAACTCAACGTTATGCTTTGGATGACAGCTCTAACTCCGTAAGATTAGCTGACGTGTATAAGAAGTACAATAGAGAAACATCACAAAATTCATTTGGTTAAAACAATAGAAAACGAATTAAAAATTGCTTGATTTGGAGAAAAAATTAAAATTCGAACACAACTGAGAATATCTTAGGAAGCTTTGTTATTACCAAAGAAAGCCTTAAAACCGTAATTTAGAATGGTTGCCTCAGGCATTATTAGTAGCTAACTCGAGGTTCCAGTCAAATAGATCATAGATGCATGCACGCGCACGCACATATACATATTTCCGCCGTAACCTAGTAGTATCTCCTTATATTCTGTCCAGATTCTCCAGAAGATCAATGAGGAACCAGATGAATATTCACCAAGTGCATGCACATAACATTTATCACAAATAATGTAACAAAAAGGGAGTTTTGAGAGCGAAACAAACAATATGAAGAGCTGATACAAGCAATGCATTGTTATGCGTAATGGATACACAAGTATGCTTCATTCAGGCTAATCTACCACAACAAAATTATAGATTGGCTCTGATTTGTGCTTTACCTCATCTTCCACCAGACAACTCAATCGCATCCTGATTATGTATTGAATCTTCTCCCCAGTCAAATCTTCTCTGTAGTCTCTCAGTCTCCTGCCTACGGTTAACTTCAACGTGCTGCCATTCTTCCCACCTCTCAGCCAGCCCTTCTCCTTCCAGCATCCGGACCACCTCTGACATTGCTGGACGATCCTCCGGTGAAGATTGTGTGCAGAGCAATGCAACCTGAATCATCATCTCCACTTCTTGTATGTTGTAGTTCCTATTTAGGTTTCGGTCCACTATAGCATCTAATCTTTTTTCTCTTTCCAGTTTCTTGACCTTCAAGGAAACATTAGCAAAATCTATTAAGCAGTGGAGACAGAGAAGACTAGTATCAGTACAGAGCTAGATATGCTAGAAACAATGGATAGCTATGGCATCCAGAAACCACCGAAAAACTTGATATTTCAAGTTCAATTTGCAAGCATCAGATTCACAGGTTCATCACGTTGAATGATATTTTCATTATAAGAAATAATAAATAAAATGAGGGGAGAACTCCCAATTCAATGGATCTGGATGCAGAGCATCTCATCATTTTAATTTCTTTAAGCGTGTAAATCTCAAGGGACAAATGCAACTTAAATATATGAAAACCAAAATGACATTATTTAATTTTAAGCGGTCTCATAATATCTGGACAAATAGCTGGCCCTAATCAAAGTTCATTAAGCATTAAACCGACATCTTGCGTTATTTGTGGCAATATGAATGTTGATATTAATTCATGCATTTATGTACATATTTATGAGAAAGCACACGAATATATTGATGCCTCACCCAGCAGTAAATATAAAGTGTAGCTCATGGCTTGGACACTTCACACCTAACCTCCCAGGTCCTCATAGTAACAGTTACATTGCAATTTCGATTAGATGTGCTTGTGCACATACACAAATGCAAATATATATGTGTGTGTGTATATATATATATATATATATATATATAGAGAGAGAGAGAGAGAGAGAGAGAGAAAGTATGCACAAACCATGAAAGTGGGTTATCTTACATGGTCAAGCAATAGAACATCGTCTTCTTCTTCCAGGCGTGAAAAGTCTATAGCCCGCTGACCAGTTACAAGCTCCAGAAGCATAATCCCATAACCGAAAACATCAGTCCTTCCTGAAGACTTTCCAGTGGACAAATATTCAGGTGCTATGTGACCCATTGTTCCACGAACTTGGGTTGTCACATTAGTCTTCCTCACATCCACTAACTTTGCCAGCCCAAAGTCACCAACAACTGCTTCAAAATCTTCATCCAATAATATGTTAGCGGCTTTAACATCTCGATGAATAATTTTTGGATTACAATGTTCGTGAAGGTACTCCAGCCCACGTGCAGTGCCTAAAGCCACTCGTTTTCTTGTAGGCCAGTCTAAAATAGGCTCCCCAGGTTTAAGCTCTGCATTTTAATGCTCAAAATTTGTCAAACATAAGCAGAAAGCCACTCTAAATTAAAGATCACCAAATTCACAAAAGATAAATCAGCATATTTGTACTAGTGTCTTAGTATCACTAGAAACAGATCTTTCAAAAGGTGCATGTAATCCAAAACTCACAATTGTATGACAGTTGTGAACATTTTCACTTCTTAGGATATGTAAGTACGGACATTAGTTTGAAAGGTCTGAGTATAAGCCAACTAAAAATATTAAGCACTTACTCCGACCAGAGGAAGAAGCCAATTAGGAATTTTTGCGCCGTAAAGAAACAAGGACCATTACAAGTGCGCAAAGCCCGAAATAGACCTAGAGGGGGTGAATAGGTCTTGAAAACTAAATAACAAACTTTAACTGATTTTTAAAATTTCAGCCATCACAACTCACTGAAATTGAAATATCAATCAATAAGCTTGTTAAACTAGGTAGAGTACAAAAATATAAAGTATAAAATCATAAACACATGAACATCCATTTTTACGAGAAAAAAATAATGGAACCAAATCAGTCAACCAAAAGAAGAAAGGCATACAACACTAGGTTAAACCAGATTCTAAACCTAAGTGCTTTCTCCTCTTCACAGAGCATCTTCTTAGTCTTTTTGGTCTTGTTAAACATAACAGTCAACCAGGCTATAATTTGCCTCCTTCAGGGGCTTCTGCCACAGAATCCTCTGGGGCCACGTCTGTTAGGTATGGACAGGGTCCCCCTCCCCAAGAAATTGACGAACACCACCCAATGGCTAATGAATAATCCAATGGTTCCATTTGATCACACTATAGTTTCCCCTTCTTCCTTAGCAGAACATGTTCCTTTACATAAAAGAGGGCTTTTCCCAAAAGGAAAGATATCGCAACCAAAAGTCTCCACAGGGCCACCACTTTCATAATTTCATCAAAAGCCTCTTTGGGTCATAAAGCCATTCCTATTTAATTTTTTTCATCATCAACTATTCCTGAATGAAAATGATATTGCTAAGAAGGATATTGTTGCTACTAGAGAATTTCGAAATTGTTCAGTGTATTGATTTCTCTAGGATCAACAATAACCTCTCTAAAACCACCAAAGGCAGTAATTGTATCTCCTCTAACTCCCATAATGATGGTTGAGAGTTTAAGTTCTTTAAACTGAAGGACCCTCAATCATTGTATTCGATTATGATAAGTAAAACACACACAACCGTGTCCCAAATGGGACCTGAGCTCTGTATGCAGGAGATTCCACTCAAGTTGGACAACTGGTGGCATCATAAAATACAATTATGGTTAATCAGAAATATTCATATAAACTAAAGCATACGCTGTGGGAGAAGTTTATAATAACTTGATCATAATACACCACATTAGAAAAATCAAGAATCATTAAAGACAAAAAACGGAAGTATATTTATCAATATTATATATAGAGAGTAATCCAAAAATAAAATAAAACATAATTAGCAGACTTAAAAATAATAATAAGTAATTAGCCAATTGTAGCCCCAATGAAATGGTGAGCAAAAGAAAGAAGAGGACTTCCATAAGATGGTTACATAAAAATAAGAAACTTGCTATTCAACAACTCAGAAGAGGAAGTTTTAATAACTGTCAAGGTAGTTAATTAGAACTCTTACTACTTAATAATCTAATTCTGTCTATACCATATCTATATAGGAATATACTATTCTCGGTTATTTCTTATAGTAGACCATTCCCAAGAAATAAATATAAAAAGGCTACATATATGCATATACAGACATATAAACAAGATTACAACCAAAAAAAAAAAGGAAATAAGATAACATAAACAAGGGTAAATATCCTTATAGTATCTCATATTCACATAAACAGATTAAAGAACTAATACCTCGAAGACGATATGCAACACTTAAGTTCTGCATAAAGGGATACACCAAAAGGCGTTCCGTTGGAGTTGTGCAGAACCCAATTAGCCGTAATAGATTCCTGTGAACAGCTACACTTATCATCTCAACTTCACGCTGGAATGCTGCGTCTCCACCAGGACTGTCATAATCAGTTAACCGTTTCACAGCAACTTTTGTGTTATCTGAAAGCACTCCTTTATAAACCTTTCCAAAGCCTCCCTGTCCAAGTACATTTTTCTCACTAAAGTTATCTGTGGCGAGCTGTAATTCCCTCCATGAAAACCTTCTCAATTGTCCGAACGGAATTCTGCGGTCAACTTCACCTGAGCGCAGAGGACAAGAAAAAGGAAAAAAAGATATCAGCAAATTCCCGAAGTAACTGAAGTCAAAAAAAAAAAAAAAAATCAAACCCTCAACTAGAATTTACCAACAACAAGGGATTAAGAAAAGTAACAAAGACATCATGGAAACGAATGAAAAAAAAAATTTAAATAAATATAAGCCCTGTAAAGCCAACTATTAAGTGGACCAACTAAATTTCAAATTCAAGTTTAGAATAACATTTTTTTCTTTATATGGTTACTCTCTACTGGTAATAATATCTGCCAATGGGTTTCTATCCTTTTTCTTTTACACAGTAGCCAGATGTGAGATGTCCCAGACTCACACCTAGAGGAGTTAAAACCTATGTTTGGTATTTGAGAAGCCAAACTTCTTGGTATTGAAAAGTTTTACGTCAGCAAAGTTTTACATTAACCAAGTTGTCCTGTAACCACATTTGACCTGCCTTCTTATCAAATCAATCCAAAACTTAGCCCAGTCCAGTAAACTGATCAGAGTTTGAGGCTGAGTTGTTGATATTTAGAACACGTTTTCTTTTACAGTGTTATATGAAAAAGATCAGGAATCCAATAGATGGCATGATCTTAAGATTTTTCTGCAATTGTAGGTAGGAGAAGAATGAAATACAGCACAAAACACCATCCTCAACAAGTATCTGAAATGCCACAGAACAGATATATTCCCAGCAATACCACACAACCATATTCAAGAAACAGCAAACTTCCAGTAAGCAATAAATATTCAGCATATCAAGCAGCCTCTGCATTCAGGTTCATAAATTAACAAGCAACACAGACCTGCAACATCTACAAAAACTTCACGCCTGTAGCCTTTATGCCTGCCCTTCCACAAAAACAACAGCACACCACCAAAAACAAGAAAACCTAGAAGTCCGCCTACAATCCCAACTATTATTCCAGTTTTTGGTCTACGCAAAGCACCTGCCAAGATAGCACAGGCATAAGATTAAGCTTGTCCAGGTAAGGGAAAATTGTGCAGCTATATAAATTTCCAATACTATAAAGCAGAGTCTTGTCAAATGACTAATTCTATTACCTCCATTATCAGATACACAAATGTGAGTGAAATTTAAGCTACAATTCAAATTGTTCCCTGAAAAACTGCAATAAGCAGCTGAAGTCAAATTAAATTCAAAGCTGGTGTTTGTATGTTGAGAGAGAGAGAGAGAGAAGTGAACAACGTTGATTACTGCCTGAACTAGGAATCGATATCATTAAGAAAACTTTGTTCATACTTGTATTTTGAAACTTGAAATAAACGCTCGGGTATTTGACCGGTGAGACTATTTGAAGAAAGCTGACTGCAAAAGAAATTCCAAATATGCCATCAGAAGCTGACAAAAGGTATACCTATTCAATCAAGAGGCAAATCTTATATTGCCATACCATATGTGCATCGCAAGAGATCTAATCACTTACATACTAATCAAGTTTGTAAGATTTGAGAGTGACTCAGGGATGGTCCCTGTGAGATTGTTTTGATTTAAATACCTGCTTGAAAATCAAGTAAATCACATGGAATATAAGAAAAATAAGCAAAGGCATACTAAATGCTATAGAAATGCTAATACAATGCAGACGGCATTACATACAAGAACTGAAGCTTCTTGAGATTGCCCAGGGAAGATGGAATTTCACCAGTTAAACGATTATTTTCCAAATCCAACGTTGTCAGGCTTGTCAAATCTCCAAATTCTTTTGGTATCCGGCCAGTTATTGCATTTCCCTGCAATGAACTGCATGACAAATCCATCTGGTATGTATCAACTATCAAAATTATACATTGGAATTGGATGACATAAGAGTTGCAAGTTCATTTGCATATCTGTCACTAGATAAAGAAATTCATCCAGAAATGCAGAACTAAAAGTTCTTTGAACCCAAAGTATAAATGTTCATGTAATAGTCAGTAGTCAGTACTAATCTAGCAAATATGAAACTGTTCTGCTGCAAGGCATATCTCTTTTATGCACACATGGAGAGTTTAATTTCATAGCAAAACAGAGATAATGATGAGAAGCACAGGAGATACTATAACAAGGCTTAGGTGCTGTTTGATAATTCAATTCAGCGCTTAATGCTGAACGGATTAAGCACTTATTCAATTAAGCGCATTTGATAACGTAATTTAAGTATCACTGAAAACAGTAAGTGTCACTTAAAATGGGGCAATATTTTAAGTGACACACACGTCACTTATCACTGAATGTTGAACGCCGAACGCTGAAAATTAAAAAAGATATTAAAAAAATATATATGTTTTAATTACCACTTACAAACTTCAGCACTTAAAAATTCAGCTCTTAAAACTTTCCGTACTTAATTTTATCAAACAGCACCTTAGTGTCAAATGTCAATCATCAAAAGAAGCAAGGAGACCTAACAAGGAAAGTTCAAGCGAGACAGCCATAAGTCTAAAAAGGAAATATTAAACGATTTGATCGTAAATTCTGAGATTTTACTACCTCTTGCCCTTCGAGGGAAGATGAGAGTGATATACATCTAGAGAACCAGTCTGTGAATGAGATAACAGTGGAGAAACTTATAAGCAAGTGTGCTGAGGCAACTCAACTAGAAGACTAAATGTCACTAGAGACAGGTCCTCTGGCATTATCTCATAGAGTCATACCAATTTATAATATTGAACACAGATATGAAATCTATGGCAATCCCAGTAACAATAGTCCATTGCAAAAAGTTGAGGCAACATGCACAGGCAAACTAAATGTACCCAGAAATTAGACTAATGCAATTCAACAATTCTACCGACTGCTCCAATTTCCCTACACGTACAGTGTCAACAGAGTCTTCAGAACTCCTATTTTAGGGGACAAGAATCCAGAAAGTCCCATGGATGTCAATGATCTGCAAACAAATAATACATATAATCATACACAACATTTAGGGAAAAACTTGCTTCGATGACATGGGCATCAGTATGTTAGCATGATATCGAGGTCAGAAGGAAAGGAAAGATTACATCACCAAATTACTTACACGGAAGTGACTTTATTACTCGGGTCACATGCAACTTTGGACCAAGTGCAGGGGTTAACTTGATATGTGTTCCAATCGGAGAGCTGATCAGATGAAGCATTCAGTGAAATCCTCAATGCATAGAGTGCGTCTCCTGAAACAGGCCTCAAGATTATCCACCATTAAGACAAATCTGCCTTTCCAAACTAATCAGCATGACAAAAACTTTAGAAAAACGGGTATAAGCAAATATAAGAGGTTAAATAGCAATACTGAAGAAATCCCTAATATTCCTAAACTCATGATGCTCTGCCATGTTATCAGAAAATTTTAATGCCTTAAAGATCTCTGTTTGGAACACATTTGGAAAGATGGAATCCAAGTTTTTTGAACAATAAATAGCGATCCTAAAAACAAAATCATCCATTTCTTCTCCTTGGATTCTATTTTAGGAAAAAATTGAGCATAGCACAAAAGACTACTTAAACAGGATGCATTTAGTTACATGATTCAACATATTTAACTTCAACAGAACATATTTTTGTTTTGTTTTTTTTTTTTTTTAGATAAGTAACTTCAACAGAACAATTTTTGTAAGTAAATGAAGAACTTGTGCATTCGACCATACATAAGCCTACCTCTATACCACATTTATAGATTGTAACACAATGATACGATACCGCTTATAATTTTAATTCTGGTTCCAGTTTAATAGAAGTTATTTTTCTATTACATACTAGTTACAAAAGGAACATAAAATTTGATGTCAATCTGACATTAACCACTCCACCAGAAGAGGATTTCATATAAGTCTAGAACTTTATAGTATGAGATTTGGACTTACATTCCAATAGAATACTTCCCATTACACTATCACTCCTTAAGTATCAAAAATATTTTTGCAGGGTAGCTATGTCGGTGCCTGACCAAGTCCATGTGAAGTGGCAAAACTTACCGTAGACCCATAAACACATATCCAAAATTTCTGGATGAGTCCACTTATCTAAAAAAAAAAATTCTGGATGAGTCGATATTAAAAATATATACTTTGAAATATCATACACTTGAACAGTTGACTGAAACTTCTGACACTTGGCTGAAACATAATACAAGCAATACCCAACACTTAGAAACAGGATGAACACATCCAAAAGTGTGCAACACAGCAACGCCCTAAAAGAAGAAAAGGAAAAAAAAGAAAATTCGATATTGAACACAGGGCTACCACAAATCATGTGTGCAATGGGCACTCTTTAATATAGAGAAAAAATATATAAAATATAAAATTAATTAATTAATAAGGAAGATAAATTATATAATTATAATCAGGATACTTCTAGGAAGATAAATTATATAATTATAAACAGGATACTTCCAATTTATGTATTCCCCATTATGAAATTAGGAAAAGTATATTTTTGCAGAGTCAGTAATATAGCAATGCTCATGAAATTATTAGTATAGAAATTTAAAAATTAATCAAGGCTACATAGTTGTCTTATAGAATACTTGTAATAGGCTATCACCTTAAGATGGTCCTGCCTACGTGGGGTACTGGGAGGGAAAAACTAATTAAAGACCAAACCATGTTATTACTTTGCACTAAGTGACGATTCTGAAAGTTAAACTTGTGTCTTCACACTTGTCAGCCCAACTTTTAACATTACATCAAGTGACTGCCCCAGCCATATATAATACATCTAAACACCAAAAAAAAAAAAAAAAAAAAAAAAAAAAAACCATTTATCTAGATATTGTCATCTCTTGTCTTTTCCGTACCCTGATTTTCATATTATCAATGTTAATGTATTTGTGTAATGACATGTCATGTTTACGTCCATGCCCATTCTACTTGACCTACTTGCCGAGAGAGAGAGAGAGAGAGAGAGAGAATTCAATTCAAATGCTTTTGTTTGGGTAATGGGGAGGGAGAAAGAGTAAACAAATTATAAGGTTGTGGTTCAACAAGACATTACGATCTCTTAAAATGATGCCAAAATACCAAAAGACAATAACCCATCTAACCTTTTGCCTTCTTTTAGTGACAAGTGAAACTAACTCTAAGAAATGGGGAAGGTAGCAATACTGGGCATAAAACATATGCTATCAAAATGAAATAAATGTAGGATAAACAACATACCTTGCTCATCCGGCAATACAAAAGAATGCAAATATGCCAATATTAGAATTGCATAAACCAATTCCATCTTCATCATTCCCAGTTATTTGGTTCAACATAAAATGTTATTCCTGCGATTAAAGTAACATAATTTAGAACTTTTGAATGCATGAATGAGTGTCATCCCTGCAAAATCATTCCAGCAACACATTAAAATCGTTTTTATAAAAAACTAGACCTAAAGCTTACACACTTAAATGATTTTCTTTACTAACTCATACAAAATAATTTCCAAATGCATCAAGATGGGAAAATCAACAAATGTCATTGTGAAAATATGGAGCACAATAAAGAAAGAAGTACATCAAAGAAGGAAATTAAGAGTATGGAAGATGAATTAAATTATATAGAAAATCAATTAAAAGTGTTGACGATATATATATTTAAGGTATACCTCTCTAACAGCTTAAACTTTTGTAACAGTAACAAGGTATAAGAGCAAGTAGTCCTATATTTTGATACTCAATGCTGCACACACTTGGCCGACTCATCGAAAGAGCCATTTTTTCATAAAGCCATGTATTTCATGCTCTTAAAGCACTTTTGTTGGTTTTACACTCTTCCTCTGATCACTATTTCCAAATTACATTTTTACTCCTACAAAGTTAGGTGTCCTTCCAATTTGATTTGCTGAAACTCAAAATTAGAAAGCAAAAATGTGGCTTGAATGAATTGAAAGGTCATAAAATCCCCCATCCAGGTATCCGGGTTGTAACTCCACAGTCCAACTCCCAACCACCATATTTTAGGGAGTTCAAGAAGCGGCTATATTCTGTAAAGGGGTAACTTTTAGGGGTTACAATGCTTCCCTTTTAAAAATATATATATATATATTTCGTAGTGAATTTTACTTTAAAAAATGCTGCTTCATTTTAAGGAAGGTCAAGCAACAGCAAGCTCTTAATTTTCGATAGGCAATGGTAAAATAAATAAATGATAAATCCTATAATAATTCTGTTACCCTTCATCTTCGCAAACATAGTCTCCATAATGATCATTTCTTATTTTTGTTATGCTGCACCACGGGAGATGATTTCATAGTAATTGTTTTTGTCATCTAACTGTCGGGCCAGCGGTAACGTATTTGCATAAAGATCCAAGATTTAACACGGATCAGCACAACTGCCCAAAATGTATGGACGAGAAGGGATAGACCACTATAAATTTGTAAAGAATTCCGAAGGAAAAGTATACCCTACACCCAAGCACCCGATTACCGATCAATACATCCTGCAGCCAATGCCCAAGCCCTTATCAATCTACAGGTCCACAAGCACTCAAGCATCACAGTTCACTTCTTGTCGTCAGTGTTATTTTATCTCTATCAACCATATCCCCATCTACGGGTTGTGTGAGGTGAAGAGGGCGGCTATGATAGATCCATCTCTTTCATTCTTATAAAATCTCAACCAATAACCTAGGTATCCATTTATAGAGTCTTAACCCAAATTCCTTGCTGAAGAAGGACTACAATCCATTTTTATCCAATTTCCTAAAACGTTTCAAACAACAATGACTCTAGAATAGAAGCCCAACAGAATAAAGAATTTAAGATATAATTCCCAGCAATTCCATCAAGCCAATCATCACCTCTTCCACGGCCATCGTACAATTTGCTACAATATGATCCATTGACAGTCATGATCAAGTGCAAGTCGATCGATTGATTCTGCTTCTAACTAAAATCCCATTGCATCAACTAGTGAGAGTTCTTGTATTATTTTGATATCCTTTAGATAAAAACGAACTATCCATAACAAAGCTTTCAACTCTAATACAAATTGTTGGACTAGTGAAAGTACAATTGCATAGAGATCTAACCATGATAATAAGTGATCATACAAAAGCCACAGATTTAACGTACTTCAACACAACTTATCCGACATCCACAAATGAGAAGAGATAGTTGTTGAGAATACCCAACACCCTAGTACCCAAATTGCCACTTAGTATATCTCATGGTCAATTCAAAAGCCCTTCAATTGTCCAATATCCACATAAACATCACACTTACCTGGTCAGTGGTCTTCCAAATTTATTGACCATCTATACGTGTCTACAATGTGTTTAAAGTAAAGACAAGGAAGCCCTCATTGACCCATCTCTCTTATTTTCGTATAAGTCTCAAATTATAGTTTATGCATCCATTTATAAAGTTCTAATCATTGTTACTTATTACACAAGGAACACAGTTCCTTTTCACCAAAGCTAACCAAAGAACATTCCTAGCAAAATAAGATTATAAAACAGAAGCCCAATAAAATTAGCAAAGTGAGACATAATTTCAAACACTTACATAATGGCATATAATAATTACTGTAATAATCATCTAACGTTAGCAATTATATATTTTTGTATGATTGGGTGTGCTAGAAGTTTTCGAGCTTGTTTGATCAAAAAGTGTAATAAGTCAAATTAATAATGGGTCGAGAATAAAGGGCTGAAGAGTCCAACAACTTCAACAACTCCAAAGTATATGAAACATAGAAACACTGAAAACTATTGATTCATCGTATCATCATCCTTACTTATTAAAAAACATATCATCATCCTTGCCTTAAAACCCATATGAATGAAGTCGGTCACATGAATTCTCTTTTTCATTTTTACTTTCACATCGTTTATACATCTAACGTTAATTTTGGTTGCCTTCTCTATCTCTTAACTTCTATTAAAAAAAAAAAAAAAATTATTCTTACTAGCGCATCCATACGTCTTCGTTTTTATGTGGCCATACCATATGACTCTACTCTCTCTTAATGGTACGCACTCCTAGTTTTTCTCTCTCACTTTCATTTGTAATCCTATTTCTTCTAGTCACTTCAACCATCCATCTTAACACTCTCATTTCGACTACAAGAACGCATTATTCTTGTTTCTTTTTTAAAGCCGTTACTCTACTCCAAATAGAATAGTTGGCCTATCTTTAGAGGAAATTGTTGATTTTTTTGCCTCTTTGAAAGCGTAGAGGCTGTTTTTGGCCTGTGTTTGTTCTCTTGGGATGCGCTCCCCTTTTGAGCGCTTTTGATATAGAATACTTATCACAAAATATATATATATATATATATATATATATATATAGAATAGTTGGCCTAATAACGGTTCCATAAAAATTTCCTTTTAACATTTTTTTTTTTTTGAGAAGTACAAGGATTTTCTCGCATAAAATGCCACTAGCCTGTCTCCATTTTGCCCACCATGATCCAATTCTACTAATTATATCAATATCTATCTCTCCATCCTTTTGTATTATCGATTTAAATATCAAAGTGGTTATTTCGAATAATTTTTTGTTTTTTAAGTGAGATTAATATATTATCAAGATCTGAATCTTTATTAAATTTACATTTTATATACTCTGTTTCAATTCTACTAATTTTCAATCCCTTTGATTCTAAGCATTTCTCCACATTTCAAATTTTTTGCAAAGTTCTCTTTAGAAGTGGAGGGAGAGGGGAAGAGGGAGGAGGAGAGGGAAGGAGACTTCTATTGTTTGGCCAGTGAAGCTACGCATTATTTCGTGGAATGTCCAAGGTCTCAATGACCCAGATAAAAGGAGGGTGGTGAAGTTGGCAATTCGGAAGTGGGATCCACATGTGGTGTGTCTGCAAGAATCAAAATTTGCTTCAGTTTTGGACGAGATTATTAGGAGTATCTAGGGCGGAAGATTTGTGGATTGGGTCGCGCTGGAAGCTATGGGCTCTTCGGGTGGCATCCTTGTGATGTGGGACAAAAGATGGGTTTCTAAGCTGGATTTTTGGGTTGATAGGTTCTCGGTGTCATGTGTTTTTTCTCTGGAGGAAGATGGTTTCCTCTGGACATTTTCGGGAGTCTACGGTCATAATGATGATGATGGTCGTCCCCTGACGTGGGAGGATTTGATTTGGTGAGGCATAGATGGTTTCATCCCTGGTGCATTGGAGATGACTTCAAGATCATTTGTTCTCCTTCAGAAAGATTAATTGGGGGAAGGTGGACCACAGCTTTTCATTGATGACCACAGTCTGATTGACCTTCCTTTGGAGGGAGCTACGTTCACATGGTCTAGTGGCAGAGAGTGTCCTACACTATCTCGTTTGGATAGATTCCTTTTGACAGGGGATTGGGAGATGAAGTTTCTGAATATTATTAAGGCGGCGTTGGCTCGCACAACTTCGGATCATATTCCTTTAGATCTCGACTGCGGTGGAATGCGAAAGAGGAGCTCACCCTTCAGATTTGAAAACATGTGGCTTCGTACGGAGGGTTTTATGGAGAGAGTTCGATCTTTGTGGGAGAGTTATGTGGTTTCTGGTAGCCCCACTTTTTCCCTTGCAAGTAAATTACGACGACTAAAAGAGGACCTCAAAAAATGGAGCAGGGATGATTTTGAGAATTTGGAATGGAGGAAGAATCGTGCTTTTGATGAGATTGCTAATATTAATAGAAAGGAAGGGGAGGGTAGCATTAATGAGGGTTTGGTACAGAGAAGGGTGGAGTGTCAAGTGGAAATTGCTGAGATTGCTTTATTAGAGGAAATTTCGTGGAGACAGAAATCCAAGGCTTTATGGCTTAGGGAGGGAGACAGAAACACGAAATTTTTTCATCGGTTGGCAAATGCTCACAGGAGGGGTAATCATATCGAAAGAATCACGGTGGATGGGGAGCTTCTCTCCAAGGAGGACGATATTTGTAAAGGGGTTACCTCTTTCTTTCAGAACTTATTCACGAAGACAAAGACATGGCAACCTTTGCTTGGTGGTTTGCATTATTCCATCTCTGACTTTGATGGTGTCAATCTAGAAAGGCATTTTTCTGAGGAGGAAGTGCTGAGGGTTGAAGAGTTGCAATAGGTATAAAGCCCCAGGTCCAGATGGTTTCTCGATGAGATTTCTTCTTGAAAACTGGGCATGGTGAAGGGGGATGTCATAGGCACTTTCTCTGCTTTTCACTCACAGGGACACTTTGAGAAAAGTTTGAATGCAACCTTTATTGCTCTTATTCCAAAGAAGGGGGAGTGTCTGACGTCAAGGACTTTAGACCTATCAGCTTGGTGGGGAGCATTTATAAATTGATTGCTAAGGTCCTAGCATCGAGATTGAGGGGTGCCTTGGATAATGTCATCTCAGATTCTCAAAATGCTTTTGTTGGAGGCCGTCAAATACTCGATTTTGTCCTTATTGCTGGTAAGTGTGTAGATTCCAGGCTCATTTGTGGGATTTTGGGTGTTCTATGCAAATTGAATATCAAGAAGCTTATGATCATGTTGGCTGGAGCTTTGTTATCTACCTCTTGGAGAGGGGGTTTGGTGAAAGATGGAGGAAATGGAATGAATTTTGTATCTCTAGTACTCGATTCTCAATCCTTATAAATGGAGCACCGATAGGCTTTTTTGGTAGCTCAAGAGGGTTACGATAAGGGAATCCACTATCTCCTTTTCTTTTCCTGATTGTGATGGAGGCTTTCAGCAGAATGATGTCAAGGGCAGTTGATTGGGTTTGTTTAGAGGTTTTAGGGTTGGTAGGGATGTTGCTAGTCAGCTACAGATCTCCTATTTGATGTTTGCAGATGACACCTTGGTTTTTTGTGATGCGGATGTGTCTCAGATGAGATATTTGAGATGTGTTCTGATTTGGTTTCAAGTCATTTTTGGGTTGAAAGTTAATGTGGGCAAAAGTGTCTTAGTGTCGGTAGGAGAGGTTCCAAATATCTCTACTTTGGCTCTTGTTTTAGGGTGCAACACTGGTTCATTATCCATTCCTAATTTGGGTCTACCTCTTGGAGCTCCATCCAAGAGTTTGGGTAGTTGGGATCCAGTGGTGGAGAGGTTTGAGAAACGGCTTGCCGGGTGGAAGAAACAGTACCTCTCCAAAGGGGGGAGGCTTACTCTTTTGAAGAGTACTATGTCGAGTCTTCCTACGTACTTTCTTTCAGTCTTCCAGATTCCCTCTTCAGTGGCTGAAAGGATCATGAGGTTGCAGAGGAATTTTCTGTGGGGTGGTAAAGGGGAGGAGTTCAAGTATCATCTAGTACAGTGGGAAAGGGTTTGCACTCCAATTCAGCAAGGTAGGTAAATGGCTTTGGAGATTTGGGATAAAGAGGAACAGACACTAGAGGAGGGTGATTGTGAGCAAACATGGGCAGGCGAGAGGAGGGTGGCACACCCCCGATGTTAGGTTGCCATATGGGGTTGGGGATTGGAAACACATTCAGAAGGGGTGGGACGAATTCTCTAAGCACATCAGATTTCGTGTCAGAGATGGCAGTAGGATACATTTTTGGGATGACATATGGTGCGGGGAGCGTTCCCTTGCTAGCATTTTCCCTTAACTCTTGAGGATTGCTTCTGATAGGCATGCCATGGTGGTCGAATGCTATCGCCTTAATAGTGGAAGAATGGTCTGGGATGTACGTTTATTGAGATTGTTTCAGGATTGGGAGATGGAGGATGCTATGAACTTTTGGGATATGTTATATCGCCAAGAGATGGTTGAGGAAACTTTCGACATATGCGTTTGGGCTCCATCTTCACTTGAGCGTTTTGATGTTTGGTCATTTTATCATTGTTTTGCAGATGCTCTAGGCTATCTTTTCCATGGAGGGCCATTTGGCAAACAAAAGCACCTCTCAAAGTAGCATTTTTTGCATGGATCCCAGGACAACCTTTAGATAAGAAGACAAATCGTGGTGAAATGGTGTTTTATGTGCAAAAATGGCAAAGAAACGGTTGATTGTCTTCTTTTACATTGTTTAGTGGCCTGAGATTGGTGGCTTTTGTTTTTAGGTTTGTTTGGGATTCATTAGGTTATGTCACGGTCTACCAGAGGCTTGATTGAAGCCTCGAGAGGATGCATAGTGGGGGGCCAAGCTCGTGACTCTTGGAGGGTTACTCCTTTGTGTATCTGGTGGTGTCTATGGCTTGAAAGAAATAGGAGATCACTTGAAGGAAAGAAAAATCATGTTGGGTCGTTGAAATTCTCCATCCTTAGCACCCTTTTTTGTTGGGTTCTAGGAAGAAATTATAAATCCTTGGATGAGCTTGTAGAGTTTTTGGATTTGTTGAAGGTTTAGAGGCCCTATTTGGCCTTTTGTTGTTTTTGAGGGACGCGTTCCCCTTTTGAACTTTTATTGAATTTTTTACTTATCAAAAAAAAAAAGTGGATCCATTAACACTATATCATTGGCAAACAACATACACCACAGAATGTCTCTTTGAAATTCTTTTAATATTTCATCTAAAATTATAGCAAATAAATATGGACTTAGCACTAATCCTTTGGCGTAATCCTACTTTTATAGAGAACTCACTAGTCTCACCACATATAGAACAAACTCTAGTTTCTGTGTTTATATACATATCCTAGAGAACCTTATTATTTGCATAGGAGTTAGTTTTTTTTTATAAAATCCACCAAATTATATGTCTTGGGACTCTATCATATCTTTTTCTAAATCTAAAAACCATACGTAGATCTCTTTGCTTACTCCTATAGTCTTCAACTAATTGCTTTATAAGTATATAATATTGATCTCCATGGCATAAATCCAAATTGGTTAATGGATACAGTAGATTCCTTCCTTAATATTTGCTCTAATACCTTTCTCATAGTTTCATGGTATGACTCATTAAAATAATTCTTCTGTAGTTGCTACAATTTTATATATACCATTTATTTTTGTAAATGGTACTATTGGCTTTACCTCCACTTATTTGCCATCATGCCATCTTTTAGAATGTTGTTAAACAAATGTGTTACAGTGTTAGCCACTCAATTACTTACTTTCCTAACTTTCTCCAAGCCTCTATAGGTATATTATCAGCACCCACTGAATTTTTTTTTTTTTTTTCCTCCAATCTTTTGAAGTGTGTTATTACTTCCTTTGGTGACTTCATTTAGCGTTCCTATATTAAATTCAATCCCTTCTGCTTCCTCTCTAAGGTATTCCCGGTTGAATAATCAATTGAATTTCCTCTCAAGATTTATATAAAATGATTAAACTTATTAACCTAAAACGCTAATTTTCATTTTATTCTCCTCATATGTGTAAATACCCTTATGACTGATTAACCACCCTACAATATATACGCACACGGATATGTACTCCAACATATATTTTTTATAAGCTCCCACGCCACAATATATATAAATAAACGAATCTGTATATGTCTGTATATGCCTGCATATTTTTGCCTGTGTGATATATACAGGTAAATGTAGTCAACATACTTAATTCTTCCCCTGTTGACCCAATTAATTCAAGAGAATTGGTTTATTTCTCCAACTATTTGCCCATTAAAATTTTATCTATACAACAGGAATATAACTGAGAGATATTAATGACCCAAGCCCCAATCAAATTCAACAAACCAAAAAATGTAATTCCAGTACCTCCTCATCAAAGCAAACTGATAGCGAATCGTAAAAGCTACCCAGCTCAAATCTATCTGATCGAAAAAAAAAATCAAAGAATCTTTAACAGCCATAAAGACCATATATATGACTCATGAAGAGCTATACTACTGTCAAAAACTAATGACAACATATATGTACACATATAACACAGAAGAAGAAGAAGAAGAAGAAGAAGAAGAAATAGTACCTTTTAGAAGAAACAAAATTAGGGCTTTGTTAGATGAGAAGTGAGTGTATTTGCATCGAATCTAAAAGAAGCTTCTTGGATGTATTATCTGTAAATTTGGGAAATATAAGAAGCTCTGCAATTATTACATGTCTCTCTCTCTCTATACACTCTCTCTCTCTCTAGTCCCAGTCGCGGTCGTGGACCCAGAAATGGGTCGAGACAGTTCAAGCACTCGCCTTTCTCTCGCGGCGTTCGAGACATTTTGGAAGTGAAACACATGTTCTTTACAGCGGTAAGACAGACTGGTCAAGCGCGAAGATCCCTGTAGTCCCACTATATATAATTTCAAGAATGAAGACCTAAGTCATCTGGAACTGTAATAAATATATATATATATATATACTCCTTTTACTATGTAATATTTTTAATATTTATATAATAATTTAGTAGTTAGTTAATTTGTGTATGATATGCAAATTAAACGCGTACGTACGAATTTTGAAAAAATAATTTCGTTTGTCCATAAGAGTTGAAAGATACGATAAAATACGCATTTTTTTCCATCACTCCGTATTCGTTTTATTGCTCCGTTTAATTTGTAACCTAATTATTTTTTTCTTTTTCTTTTCGTGCATGAAATACAGGTTTGTATTGTATTTTCTACCCTCTTTTACTTAGTATAGTTATTATCTTTTAAGTCATTAAAATAATGTTATTTGTTATACAATCTCTTATTGTTGTCACTCCAATTATGATCTTTAATCAAAGTACTGAAAGATATATATGAATCACAAGTTTTTATTGATGTTTGTAGATATTTATAGATTTTTTGTTTTGTTTGTGAGATATTCGAAATTTTATTAATATCTTTATTATTATTATTTTAGAAATTTGTAAATCACCACACTCCCCAGATGTTTTAGTAAAGTATCACATTATATAGTTATGATTTTTTTTTATATAATTATTGTGATAGTATCAATTGTAATATATTTATTTTATTATTTGTTACATATTTTTTATTATCCTTACAAATATATCATATATATAAGAATATAATAAGATATATATAGTCGAATTTTTGATCCTGCATTTTTAGTGTATATAACGGATCATACATATATGTATTCATATTTGTATTTTTACGTTGTCGTATTTTTTTGCCGAATTTTTTAAACATATTTTTAAAAAAATATCGAATTATACTCGTACATTTCCGTAATCGTATTTTTTTTGTACCGTATTTTACTAACTATATACTAATGATTATTATATAATTTTTAAAATAATAAAAATATAATTTCATTACCACGAGAAAATGTGTTTAAATTATATTTATTATTTATAATATTAATAATATTTAAATTACAAAAATATTTTATGCATTATAGTTTTTTTTATACATTGGGACATTATACCATTGGGCTAGATGTAGGCTGATAATTACAATTATCTTAAACAAATCATATTATCACATTATTTGTATTAAAATGATCTTGTTATAAAAGAAAATAAATTAAAATATATAGAATTATATTAGTCTGTATAAAACTTCAGTTTAGTCAAATTAAATCAAATAAAATGAAAAACAAAAATTATATGAGATAGTATAAAACTTCAGTTTAGTCATTTAATCAAATAAAATTAAAAATAAAGTGTGACGTAAGCTCATGCGTGTTATAGTGTGGTGCACTGTATCATATTTCTTCTCTAATTTAAAATCAAATATAGCAGCACAGCATTTTGGCATTTTTCGCCGTCAATTTTTATACTATTAATTAAAGGGAAGTACAGGTTGACACTTGACAGGTTGAAGGGTAGTGGGCTTCTTATCTGTATTTAAATTTTTTTCCACACATCTTATCACACTGTTGACTATTGAGACACCAACGTCTTTTGTCTCTCCAGGGCCACTTGTCTGGATAATTAAGAGGAGAACAAAATAAATAAAGAAACAATTTTTAATTATAAAATTTTAAATATAAATATATTGCAGAATATGTTTGAAAACTTTAAGCGCCTTATTTTTGGCATATTTCGCCCTCAGTCATTTATTTATTTTTTTTTTTGAAACAGAAATTCCCCTAGACATGACCTCTTAGGGATTCACCTCAAATTACAAATCTGTGCCACGTGTACCGGTCCCTCAACACGCGCAGCAGTCAATCAAAAGGAATAAATGGCTTAGAAAGAGTCGAACACCGGCCATTTCAAACTTGCCTCCAAACTCCATCCATCACAATTATGCCTCCGGAGCATTTCGCCGTCCGTTTTTATATGTTTGACATCACTAAAAAATTCTGTTTATATATATTTTATAGGATATGTATACGGGTTTAACTGTATCTTTGTTTACATCAATATTATATTAATTATATTTCCAATGTGTTGAATGATTGTTTAATTTTCTATCGCATGCCTTCTATACCATCATGCGAGACACACATCATCAGTGACGACCATTCATAATAAAACACAACAGTAATGAAGAAGACGCAAAGAGGCCTAAATAAATGAAAACTGTATTTTTTATTTTTATTTTATTTTTTTATGAATGATTAAGCGTATGCCTTGCAGACCCATGCCTAATGAGTAATGGAAAATAGCTGATAAACCATGAACAAAACTCCATTATTTACAACCATTATTATTATTATTATTATTATTATTATTTTTAGGAATAATTATGCATATGTCTGCCCATGCTTAATGAGTATTATAATTCTTAATAATTGTTGATAGAAGAAGGTGTTGCATGAATAAATAATATTTTAATATTTTTCTTCAACTCGTATTTCTTGAAGTTCTCCGTTACATCACATAAATACAATTTCTTTTGTTACCATTTCAAATATCTTCCACAGCCAAATATATTTTTACAATCATGAAAGTCAATAGTGACAGTAAAGAGAGAGTCGTATAGTATGAAGAGAGAGAGTTGTACAGTGCGAATAGATATAAATTATGTTGTGATCTGTAGAAAGATTTATACTGCATGAATAAAGAGAGTCGAATCAGTTGTACTCACAAGTAATTAATTTTTTTTGGTTACGGTTTTGATAAATAAAAAGGTTTTGCATCAACCAAACACCAAAAAAATAATAATAATAAATAAATAAATAAAATTTACATCCAAACAACAACCAAAAAAAAAAAAATTATCAATATTGTGAGGTTTAAGTTGTTTTCAATTAAAAAGGTTTCAATGGAATGGAATGGAATTTGCCGCAAACACCGGTGCCGCCACCACCAGAACCGCATCCACCAATATATCGACAGGGACGCAACCTTTTGAGGACCATAATCGTTTATGGATGCAACAGCCATTAAAAGTAATTGGTATGTATAACAATGTTTGTGATCCTTGTCACAGGAGCCGCCCCAACTTTCTCCCCCACCTCTCTCTAACTTTCTCTCTCTAATAGGTAGTTTCATCTTCTTCACTCTGCCTCCCTTTCATGAGAGGGGAAAAATGAAAGTCGTCTCCTACAACTGCAATAAACTAGCGTGTGTTTCTATAAATGTGTTTTGTGGGTATTTTTTTACTCCGTTTTTTGTTTTCTTTGACTAGATCTGTTCATGTTAGGTTCGTTTTCGGATCACATGGACGGATCTGTTGATTTTTTCAACTAAATTTCTGGTCTAGGTTAGTTTTGGTTTTTCTCGACTTGATTTAATCTTTTTCTCCTTAATTTGATCTTGTGCGGGGTTTATTAGGTATTGGAGAGTCTTGTGGTTGTAACTTTGGAGCCATTGCCATAATAATGGCCAGACCTTTCGGTCTTTTCTGTTTGCTGCGTTCTCCGATGGTGGTTCCGTTTGTAAACTGTTGGGTTATATTTTCTCCACAAATCTGGAACATGTTCTTCATTTATTTGTTTTGCTTTAAGATTTGTATACCTTTTTTGATTTGACTTTATGCCTCTGTATTGTGATTTTGATTTTAAGTCTTTGTGTTTTTTAATGACAAAAAATAATAATAATAATAATAATGTATAACAATGTTTTTGTCTTAATGTTAGATTCCTTTGATTTTGATTGTGTGTATGTCTGCCCATTATAATGTTGGATCCCACTTTATGTTCATATATGAAATCTGCGCATTGTTGATATGATTTAATCTTTATGTTGTACTATTGTTGACTTTAGGTTGACTGTAGCTTTACTTAATTGGCTTTAAATTATATTATATGCTTATGAAGCAACACAATAATTAGTATAGAGACCACCATGGTCAGTTCTAGACATTCTGAAACAGAAATATAAGTGTCATGTTCAGAGTGTCCTGATTTATTGCAATCTATCTTGTTACATATTTTTAAGAAAAAAGTATATTTTAGTGAATAATTTTAAAATAAAATTGTTCTAAAGTGAGTATAAAATAAGAAAAAGAGACAAAAATTATTTTCTGTAAACGAGTCAGTATTATAATTATGTTGAGTAGCTTACAATCAGAGAGTCAAATTCTCTAAAGTTTGTGATTTTTATGCAACAATATATAGAGATAGTTTTAATCTATAAATTTACTTTTTTACTTATTTAATCAATTAATGTGAGACAATAAGCAAAGAAATATAGCATGGTCAGCAAATCACAAAACAAACCACTGTAATAGAATAATCAAAGAAATTGTATATATATACACGTACATGAGGAAGGATACTGACATTAATATCAATATGTAAATTGAAAAAGAGGAGAAAAGCCTAATCTCTTCCTTTTTCTATCATCGCAAAATTGAAAAAGAGGAGAAAGTGAAAAACAAACGACCAAAAGCTTAACAAAAGAGGATAGAGAGAGGATTGAAAGCTTTTGGAGCAAGAAGCAAACTTTTTGCTCTAATAATTTCTCTTTATTGACACTTTATATTTGTCTTTAGATTACCATTAGACTCGAATAATTTACATTCTTTTCGTTTACATTCCTTCAATTCACATAATGTTAGCAAGTGGGATTTAAAAAACAATACATATAAACACGATTACTACATTTCATTTCTTTTCCTAATCAACTGCACGATAATTAGTGAACACTATCTCATTTTCTGTATTTTCTCTCTCTTATTCTTTCTTTTTCTTTTTCACTTTCCCAAACTTAGCCTTAATGAGCCCCTTGGAGCCCACTATTGGGCTCAGCCTAGGGTGGAGCAGCCTCCATTCTCCATGTATATGTATGCCGTGTTGTCTTTCAAGCTCTAGAAAC